TTGAAAGAATATTTCCTGTGGATTGTTTAAAAATTTATGAAAGAATATATGAAGTTTCTGAAATAAATTGCAAGAAATCCTTCTGTGGGAAAGTTTTGTTGACTGAAAAATAAACATGATAAGAGGGGACTTGAAGGTTGTCTAGTGGGAACCAGAGAGAACAATTACAATTAAAGGAGAAGACACCCATTAATACAATTCAATTGACTATCGAAGAAATTAAGCTGTTTGGGAACAATGTACTCAGAAATTACTTACAAGATTGTCTGATACTATAACAGAGGATATAGAAGAACAACAGCTTTTATTGGACAAAACAGAGATTTAGGCTGATTTGAATATGAATTTGGAATTTTAAAAATGCTGGATTATAAAAGGGATATGGAAAAAGATGCTGTGCATTTGAAAATAGATTAAAAATGCCAGAGTATAATGATATGGAAAAAGATGCCAAAATGGATTTACAAATGAAACCAACTAATGTTATAATAACCAAAGGGACCTACAAATAATAAATCAAAAGAGTGACTTGGAAAGCCTTCTTATTTTGGATTTACAAAAGGAATATGTTAAACCAATAAAGCTGTTTCTGAGAGGAGACAAACTACTGAAGTTGTTTCTGAAAGGAGACAAAGACAAAATGATAAGAAATCAACTTGTGGGACACTATTTGACAGGATTAAAGATCAAGCTTTTTAAAAGTAAACAGAAGGGTTACAAAGTGAAGTTATTTGACTATGGTTAAAATATATGTCGTGCTTTCTGGTAGCTATTAATGGGATTTCTTTTTGACTAGGACTGATGACAAGGTTTTAAGGATCTGTTTATAAGTGGGGAGAGATTTATTTTGCTTTACTTCTTAGAGAAAGTGATGTTGGATTACAAAATGGATTATTAAGGTAAAAATACATATGTTACTATTTTTGGTAGCTCTTAATAGACTTTAGAGGTGAATATGTGTAGCTCAGGGTTCAACTGTGGAGTCCTTGGGGTTCTCTGAGCTTGGTTCTTTTCTTGCATACGTTTCATTACCCGGCTAGGTAACATCTTCAGTGCTAAAATGGGATGGGATTCAGACAAGGCAGCAATTAACAGATACATAGAGATAAACAGCATCTGCATACTATTCAAAAGAGACAAAAGACCAGAAGATCGCCTCACCAGCAATCATCTCCAGCAATCATCACCCAGATAAGCAAAGATTACCACCAGGCACACAATCAAGCAGTAAACAAGGAACAACCAGAGGAGCAAAATAAACCCCCCACCCCCACCAGCACTGGCAAGGCATGCCACACCACATAAATAGAGAGCAAACCCCATCCCACTTTAGCACTGAAGAGGTTACCTAGCTGGGTAATTAAACATTTGCAAGAAAAGAACCAAGCTCAGAGAACCCCAAGGACTCCACACTTAATAGACTTTTGCTGATTAGGACTGAATGATGAATTTTTATCATTCGATTATCGATAAGGGATGAGATATGGGAAGAAGAGATTTTTTAAAACTGAAATCCTAGAGAAGGCATTAAGTTACTGAAATTGTTTATACTTGTCTGGAGGGAGGGGGAGTCATCTTTTATATATTCTCTTTTTCTTTTTTCTTTTCTTTTTTCTGTATCTTTGTACTTCTCTTTTTTTCTTTACTTTTTATATTTTTCTTAGTTTGTATTAGTTTTTTATCTTTGTACTTGTAAACTCTAATAAAATTATTATTAAAAAAAATAAAATGGGCTAAGAGTTTTGGTTATAACATACAGATGGCTCAATGGGAGAAAATGTGGGTAAATGGGATGAAATCCACATTTTGTTATAATTTAAGAGAGAATTTTTACAAAATGACATACTGTTGGCATACGATTCCAGAGAAATTATCTAAGATATATAAAGGTACTTGTAGTGAATATCTGAATGTGAAAAACATGAAGGGACTTTTTACAATGCATAGTGGACTTGTGACAAAGAAAATATATAGGATACAAATATACACAATGATACAAAGAATTTGAAAGATTAATATTGAGAAAAAACCAGAACTCTTTTTATTGGGACTTGTGGATAGCCAATTAGAAAAGACTCATAGAAGACTGATTTTATATTTGGTAACTGCAGCAAGATTATTATACACACAATGATGGAGGAACATTGAAACACCCACAATGGAGGAACGGATTTGAAAATGACAGAAAATGCAAAACTGACCTGTCAGGGACCAAACAGTAAGTACTTTTTAAGAAGACTAGAAACCCTTTATGAACTTTTTGCTGAAAATGAAAAAAAATGAAATGATGATTTTTGGATTTAACAATTTAATTGGTTGGAGTTTTCTAAGTTTTCTAAGAGTTTTCTAAGAGGGAGGAAAAATAAAGAATTTGTTTATAACTGTTGAAAAGAAGGTCTGAAGTTGCTTAATTTTTCTGATTCTTGTTTATCCTTTTTTCCTTCTTTTACCATTTTGCTTTTTGCACTTTCTCTTTCTCTTTCATTTCTTTACATATTTTCATATTTGTCTTTTATCTATGTAAGAACCCTTAATAAAAACTTTATATAAAAAAAGTACTTTATCTGAATGAGACGGCAGCAACCAGTGATCTTCGTAGCGTCTCTTTCTCTCTCTCGCTCTGTCATGTGTTCACTTAGCGACCATTTTGCTTAACAGCTGAGTCATTGAAACCAATTGCAGTCACTAAATGAGGACTACCTGCATCTCTTCTTTCTTTTTTAGCCCATTAAGACACATGGTATCCCAAAGACCATACCACCCTGCATCAGGCTGAGGATCTGCCTCACTTCTGGCAGGTCTGGGCCAGTGGCAGGGGAAGTCTGACCTTTTGCTTGCCCTTTCCTCTGCAGGGCTGGCAAATTCCCCCCAAGCTGCAGACTCACTCCTCTCCAAGGGCCATTCTAGAGTTTTGCCCATGTCTTTGGAAGGACTGGCACCCAGCCCAAATCTTCCTTGAGAACAGACTCACCATGCCAACCAGGGAGCCAACAGTTGCTATGCCCACGTCCGAAATATTGGCAGCAAGCTCCCTTCTCACACAGAGCAGCAGCAAGATCCCGACACGCCGGACAAGTTTGATCTGTAAACCGTCAATGACAAAACAAAAAGATGGGGGGGGGGGTTTTGCCAGAAATGCCTCCTCCGATATAGAGGCAAAATGCTTTGAATCAAGTGATTTTCTCTGTAACAGCACAGCCAGGAGCACTGCTTCTCCCCAGTCTAGCTTGGAGCTGCTGGTTGATGCAGCTGCCTTCCACCCTCCAAGTAAACATCCCAACTGCAGATCGGAAGAGAGTGTGCACATTAAAAATTCTATGGTCCAAACAAAATCTACTTCTTTGTAATTTAAAAACATTAATTTTTCTGTTCTGGAACAATTCTGCCCATCTTTGGCATGACAGCCATTCTGCTACATGAAGACGGCTCTCATGTCTTCCCCCAGCCTTTTCATTTCTAGGTTAAACATAACAAATGCCTTTTTCCTTCCAGGCCCCTTATCATCTTGATTGTTCTCCTCTGGACAGGGTCCAGTTTGTCAATCTTTTTCTTAAAATTTGGTGGCAACATCCTGGATGTGGTCTGACCAAATGCCAAGTAAAGGTGAACAATAAATTGCCTTCATTTTGACAGGGCAGCCTAGGATTACATTTGTTCCATTTGTAGCTACATCACACCATTCACACTCAACTAATGATCCACTAAGCCACATAGATCTTTTTGCCTATAATGTTGCCAGTATGGATCCCCCTTCCCCACCCCGCATGCAGCTCCTTTTCATTTTTCTAACTCAAATTATAGACACTGTATTTGTGTCTCTGTTGGAATTCATGTTTTGGTTTCTGCCCAATTTTCCAGTTTGCCTAGATTCCCCTAAATCTTGACAATGGGGTTTGCTATCCCCTCATCTTTGTGTTGTCAACAAATCTGAAAATCCTGTTTTCTAAATTTGGTCAAACTCAATTTGACCAGTATAGGGCTGAGAACAGAGCTTTGTAGTACACCACTCAATGCTTCCCTCCAGCAGCTATTGACATATTCTCATTCGAACAATTGTTCAATCAACATCACATCCATCTAAGATTAGCATAGTCCAACTCACAGTTTGCCATTTTCTCTGTTAGTACATCATGAGAGGCTTTGCTGAATCCTTTGCTGAAGTCAAGATACACTATTTGTATGGTCATCTCTTTAGTCGATCATACCACATTTGCATGGTCAACAGAACTGCTCAGAAAAGGAGACTGAGGCATGACTTGTTCTTGATAACTAGAAGCTCCCTAAACTAGCAAATCATATCATAAAATATAACAAAAAATAATAGGCATACTGATGATGGATCTTACATAAATTCTCTTCTGGAGAGCTCGAGGGTTAGGGCTTTTTTAAAAAGACAGGAGCAACAGAGTCATCTGGCTGCCTGGTGGGAGGCCGTTCCGTGCGGTGGTTGCCACTGAGTTTTCAGGGGTTTCTCGCTTTCCCCAGAATCTCAGGTGGAGAGGAGCCCAGAGCACCCCAGCCTGAGATGCCCATGTTGGACATGAAGCCTTGACCTGGGTGGACAGTTCCAACCCTACCCTTTGAACTGTAACTGGGAGCCTCAGAAGAGAGGCAAAGACAATGAAATCTGGGTGTTAGAACCTGCATCACCCAACTGTTGTTGTTTTCCATTGTATTGCATTCTTTGGGAGCTGGATTGATTTGTTTCTGCCACTTGTAAATAAG